GGGCGGAGGGGGTTAATCCCATCATCGGAAGAGCGGGCCTCCGAACATTCATTTCTCCGGTGCGGAGATTTGGCAGACGTCGCCTTTTTCCATTGTGAAGTGAACCGCTCGTCTGGCTGTGCTTTAAACAAGTACCTGGGTGTGAGCCAATCAGATAGCTCCATAGCTCAGATCTGTCAGGCCACCATTCCAGTGAAGTGACCCGCACGGGAACATCGCAAACACTGGACCCGACACAAACTTTCACAGGCGTGCGGAGTATCATCAAAAAAAGGACAACGCCACCTACAGCTGTGAACTCGTAGGATGTCACTTTATATGCATGGGGGGGCGTCGCTCTGCTCCCGATCGCCCACCCCTGTACTGTCCATCCAGATCTATAGAGATCTCAATTATAACATAGACGTCTCAGTCCCAAAATCTAAAGGGGGCAAAAAAATAAACAATGTCATCTGCATTACAAAACGTACGCAAACGCGTGAGAAAAGAAGTCATAGAATTTTCTACATGAGCTTTGTTTCTGCGTTTGTCACGCTTACAGTTCCCCATTGAAATCAATGGGGACGCGTGGCAAACATGGAAAGAAAATGCGCACGAATGCACGTGGCTGTGATGTGCGCCCCCTTCTGTGCGTGAATGGGGACTTAGATGAAGCTCTGATCTCTCTATTTTGTTTTTATTGTTTTCTCTATCAAAGAGAAAGGATTACAATGTCTTTTTTCCCCCTAAGCCCCCATTCACACCTAGGCGTATTGTAATATGCGCGTCTGTCGCGCGACCGTCACGCGGTTTTTTTACCGCGATTCGCGGTAAAAAAGTTGCGCGGCCGTCGCGCGATTACAAAGGCTACTTGGCAGTATCCCAATGGAAAACGCCCTACAAAACGGCCCAAAGTAGTCCCGGGACCTTTTCAGGCGTGGGCCGTTTTGTAGCGCGTTCGGGACGGGCGGAAATACGGCAAGGTGGGAACGAGTCCATTGACTCCAATGCAATTTATATTTTTGAGCGTTTTGTAGAGCGTTCTTCGAGCGTAGAACGCGCTACAAAACGTTCAGGTGTGAACGAGGGGTCACAGAGGAGAAATAGAGCAGGGAAGGCTTACTGTGATAGCCACACTTACTTGGCTATCACAGTGATCACATGATCAGGAGCCGGTCCTCCTGACTCCCGATTGTTAGTTCGAGACCTGTGCTGTAGGGGAGGGGGAGGGGATGGAGCGCGCTTCCAGCACTAATACATGCCACATATACACAGCGCCATGGAAGAAAGCCCACTTATATATGTGTGATGCCATCAGGAAGGGGTTGACTACCTGTTGTTCCTGCCCGTAGATCCCTAATTTTTCCACTTCCTGTAACTGAGTGACAACTCTGTACGTTCTGCAGTGAAATCGCTCCACAGGGTTGTCACCCTGTGAACACTACAGGGTAGTCTTAGATAGACATGTACTTTTAAATAACGTTTTAAGCAAATTGACGTGTAGTTTAAAATAATGGCGGAGACAAACTCCAGCTAACGCATTGTAAACAGTTACAGCAACAGCTTTTTTTTTTTTTTTCTTTTGTGAAAATGTTTTGAACCCTATAAATAGAAGCTGACCATTGTAAGCCTCCCCTCCCCAGCAGATATGGTTTATCTCAGTCCCTGGAACTGCCACTTTCGCTGGACAGCTTGGCCTGTTAAAGGTAATGGTAAAGTAATAAAACAAAAACTTCTGTGCTAATGCTACCGACAGACTGATTCAATATAGGTCAGTGTATAATTGTGTGCAGAGTCCCCACTTCAAACTTTAAAGAAACACTGTCGCCATGCACCATTTGGGATCCCTCTAGAAGTGCAGCACCCATTGAAGGGATTTGTGGGTTCCCAATTCATAAAAATGTATCAAACTTGTATAACACATCTACATTAATTTATCTCTTTAGAAAAAGGCCATCGACCAGCCTCACAAGACGCCCTCCATCTGGGTGGCCATATACAAGGCGTTCGGACGCCCCATCCTGCTGAGCAGTACCTTCCGCTACCTGGCCGATCTTCTGGGCTTTGCTGGACCCCTCTGTATCTCTGGGATCGTCCAACATCTGGGAGCCTCCAATGAGAGCAGACAAGAACAGGTGTGTGTGTGTACATAACTTCCATATAATGCAGGATGCTGTGTAAGGGGGTTCAGGGAACTAACTCCCATACATTTTGGGAGTCTGTGGGGCCCTTCACCAGGGCCAGCGGCGGAACTATCGTCATAGCTATGGCATTGCAGGCTGCTGGCTGTGAATGGCGGCTGTGAGTCAGTGACAGCCAGCAGCTTGCAGTGGAGGAGGCCCGGCGGTGGCAGTGGAGGAGGAGGCGGCGGGGCCCGGCGGCAGTGGAGGAAGAGGCCAGGCCTGCGACGGTGGAGAAGGCAGGGCCCGCCGGTGGCCAAGGAGCAGGCGGGGCCTGGCGGTGGAGAAGACTGACAACGGATCGGGGCTGACAGGTAAGAGGTGTGCAGGGGTGTGAACAGCCCACCTGAGATCCTGCAGAGCCCACCATAGAGAGTCTATGGTGGGCCCTGCAGGGTCACTCCCAGGTTGGCTGTTTGGGATCTCAGGTAGACTCTGCAAGGGGTGTAACTAGAAATCACAGGGCCCCATCCAAAATTTTGCTATGGGACCCTGAGATTTCTACTACATCCCTGACCAGGGTCTAAAGATGTTGGGCAAGAAAAGGAGATCTAGACAGCAGGACATAAATATCTTGAATGTATAATTGTTGGACAAGTACAGAACTGTACAGAACTGTACAGAACAAGTCTGTTCCAGTCACTGTTTGCTTGTCCATCAATCCTACTTTTAAGATATTTATTTCCTTTTCTGTCCAATATATTTAAAGTAGTATTAAACTCTCTGGCTTTTATTCAATAATAAATCCAATTAAAACAGATATACATTGCCCAGCACAGTATTTGTTTACATTTTTGCCCAAATGCTTACAGTCATCATGTCTATAAAGAGTTGGCTCCAACTCTCTCAGCAGCACTACCCTGAAATTCCTGTTTAGTACAAGATCTCAAGGGACACCACAGTCTTTAGCAACCATTTACTAGCTTGGAGAAGGGAAGAGAGGGAGGAAGGAGGGGAGTGTCTTACCGAGCTTGTGTGTTTGTTGAGACACACACAGCTTACTAGCACACAATGGGGTGGCTACATAGGGCCCTTCAAGGTAAAGGAGCCACCTAAAACAGGATATCTGGGACAGTGTTCAGAGGACCTGCTCATTCTGCAGGAAACTAAAACATCAAGAAGCAGCATCCATCGCAAGTGATTCAATCAGTGTTTGAAATAGCTTCAAAAGTGATTCTGATGCCTCCTAAAAAAAGTATTAAGTTCCCCATTAATAATTTTTCTGTCTTGCTGTCCGTGCTTTGGATCTGCACTTTCTTGGATCTTCCTGATCCAGTTCCAACAATGCACTATAAATTGCTCGTCAGCAGTAAAACACGCAACACCTTCTGCTTGGACGAGCCGTCTTCACTTTCCCTTCACTGGTTGGATTTTCATAAATATTTCTTCCTCCCACAGACCTGCTTCCCATGTGGCCTCATCACGATTATCTGTTTGCCTTTTCCAGGATCTGCCGAAAAATGCATTTGTCAGCGTCTACTTCATGTCCTCCAAGGAATTTCTGGAGCAGTACTACGTATTGGCCGTTCTTTTATTTCTGGCCCTGATCCTCCAGAGGACGTTCCTGCAGGCCTCCTACTACGTCGCCATAGAGACGGGGATCAACCTGCGCGGAGCCTTACTGGTGAGCACGACACTTACTGTCCCCACCAATAGTCACCATATGTAGTGCAAGAGATACCCCCTTGAGGAGTCTATTGTTTTCAATATGGTCCATTCACAGTTGCATTGTGTTGAGATTTGTTAGGTAGAGGTCTTTTGTGCAGGATTGTTCAGCTGGCCGTGCTCATTCTAAATGCAATGCATCTGAAAACACATGTGGATGTTACATAGCAGTTCAGAAATTGAAGGAGGATTAAGAGGACCTGTACCGTGGAAGCTGCGCCTAAAAAGGCAAGCAGAAAACAAAGGACTTGTAACCAGTACTGGCTTACTGTGCTTTGTTGTGCACTGTGTGGAGGCAGCCATCTTGGTAGAGTAGCAAGGATGTGCTTCCTCATGTCAGAGCTGCCCCTCTAATGACTAGTTATCTGATGACAGAGGAGGAGGAAGCCTAGAGCCATAGAATATATGAACCAAAAACAGGGAGCATCCTTGCACTGCAGTTCCTCAGGTACAGCTTCCTCTCCAGCAAAGAGAACAGTGAGTAGCACAGTAATCTCACTTTAAATCTGCTGAGACTATCAGTCAGAGGCAGCAGTGCCTTCGATCCTTGCTTCTCCATTGGTGGGTCGTGACCCAAAAGGGAGTCTGGACCTCGTGTTTAATGGGTTCCCACGTGCCTTCCACTTTTCTAGGTGAGAGTCTCCTCAGCCTCCCCTTAGTGTAGCCCTGTTAGTTCTCGCACCAAGCAGCCATTCAAAATATTCTGCCGAGTGTCAGCTTGAGGTGGGGTGTGATGGGGCTATGGCCGCGAGGGAGCTCCATCCATATGTGAATTGCTTACAGCTCCCTTGCGTGCCCTGTACAGGAGCCTGGACCGGAGTGTCGTCACATTCTGGCTCATGGCACCTCTACAGGACACGCAAGGGAGCTGTACAAGTGGATGTACATATGGATGGAGCTCCATCACAGCACAGCAGCCCACACTGGACCTCAGGCTGAGGATCCCCTCGTTCTCGTAAGAAAAGTAGACTGGGGGATTTTAAAAATAATGTAATTTGTTTTTGGAGTGCATATGTGCGTGTGAGATTGTGTCTGTGGTTGTGTGTGTCTGCCAGTGTTTCTGAGGGCCACTAGTAGCACTAACACTAGTAGAGTGCATTAATCACACAGTCCCGTGCAATTAACGCACTATACCACGCAATCGCACCTACCACGTGTTCTGGTGTGATAGGTGCATTGCATTGCCATTCATTTGAATGGCACCCCAAACGCCGCTCTCACCCACAGTTCTATTGCCCACATCGGAACGTGCGGTACCGCAATGCAATGTGTTCCATGGCAGTGCCACTAGGGTCATGATTTAATGACCAAAGACAAATGTGGGTCCTGAGGTTGAGAACCACTGCTTTAGATGATCATACACTGCAGATATGCAGCTACAAGGTTGCAAACCGGGAGTGCCTAGCCAGAAGAAGTGCAGTGTAATTTTTCAGAAGGAGCTCAATACTAAAGGAAAATTTGAGTATGGCTTAGACACAATTCACATTTCTAGGTGTCCCCTATAAGAAAGCAAATATTCACTTTTTGAGGTCAGGTCTCCTTTAAAAAATAAAATACAGTTCAGTCAGCAGTATGTAGTAGGGCCTCTTACACAGCTGCCTGTGGAATCTTCTCCTCAAAGCTACCATTGTCCTTGTCAGACACATTGTGGAATCTAGAAAAATGGAAACATGTAGCAGAGTCCGATAAGGAGAACTGCGTGACCTTGTACCTCCTAATAGAGTATCAGCCAAAGCTGAGCTCCCATCTGCTGCTATACTGGATGTAGCCAATAGGGGAGGATTACTGGCCACACACATATCTACCGTCTTCCAGTTCCGTCAAAATTACAATTTCATTCGTTCCTTCCTTGGTAGGCCAACACACACCTGTCTTGCCCTTTTTTTATTGGTTAGACCACTCATTTTTTTTAAACAAAAAGGGATAAAACATATCAAGAGATACTGCAGGAACTTAATATGATGATACAATTGAAACCTTTAAATTAAGTGTGTAAGTGCGGTTCAGGAAGGCAGTATTTTCAATATAAGGCTAAGATCAAGAACATGGGACATGACCTCAAACTAGTAGACGAAAAGTTCCAAACTAACCTTAGAAAGTATTATTTTACCGCAAGAGTAGCGGATACTTGGAACAGGCTTCCAGCAAAGGCAGAAAGAAAATCAACAGTAAGGGGTCTATTTATTAACAGCTTGCAGAGCTATTTATCCTGCGAATCACTGAGAGCGTTCGTTCTGTGCGAATACTGGCAAAAACGAATCTTTAATATAATTTATATTCAGGTCGAATGTAATGTAATACGGCATTATGGCCAATGTTCACCGGGAGGAAGGGGGTTGGGGCAAGGCGCGGTTGTTGTGCTGATTTGTTAATTTGTGTTCAGGTAAGGGGTGGGGCGCATTATTAGCAGCTCTGTCTGGCATCCCACCAACTCACTGATGTCATTGGTTGCCATGAGCTCGGCGGGACGACAGCCAGAGCGTTTAGCTCAGCTCATGGCAACTGGTGAAATCAGTGAGCTGGGCGGGAAACACACAGAGCGTCACAGGTTGAGCTATAAGCAAACTGGGACACTGTGCCCCCCCTCCACCACCACCTAGCCATCCCCCAATGAGATGCCGCCTGAGGCAACTGCTTCATTATAGGGGCGGCCCTGTCGAATGTCAACACCCACACACTGCGATCACTGAAAATCGGCAGTTGAATTACAATTTTAGATAAACAATTTATATCAGACAATTCCTTCATCTTCTCCGATGTGTTCCAGGCCATGATCTACAACAAGATCCTGAAGCTGTCCACCTCTAACATGTCGATGGGTGAGATGACCCTGGGACAGATCAACAACCTGATGGCCATCGAGACCAACCAGCTGATGTGGTTCCTTTTCTTGTGCCCCAATCTCTGGGCGATGCCTGTGCAGGTACAGCCGACAAGTAAGGGCACCGCCATAATACCAGTCCAATCCCAGCCCTGTCTCTTCACATTCTTTGCCGTAACACAATGAAACATGGCTATCTGTTGTTTGGGCTACACACACTGCATGAAACTCCCATCTTCTTCCAGATCATAATGGGGGTCATCCTGCTGTACAAGCTGCTGGGCGTCAGCGCTCTGGTGGGGGCGGCCGTCATTGTACTGCTCGCTCCAGTACAGTACTTCATCGCGACCAAGCTGGCGGAAATCCAGAAGAATACGCTGGTAAGTTCGGGAGAGCGGGTAGAGTGAGATCTGTGATTAGTATTATACATTTATATACAGTAGCTTTGACATATACCCTGGTGCTGTAAAAAAGAACACTGGGCCAGTCACAGCAGTTTCTGCACCAGAGGAGCCTACACTCTAATGTCACACCACATACACACTATTATTATTATTATTATTATACATTTATATAGTTCTGACATATTCCACAGTGTGGTACAGAGTACCCTGAGCCAGTCACATCAGTTGCTCCACCACAGTCACACACTATTATTATTATATTATTATACATTTATATAGCTCTGACATATTCCGCAGTGCTGTACAGAGAATACTGAACCCTTTCCTTCAATTTCTGCACACACGTACTGTCAAACACACAGAGTAAAATGGCTTATAGCCATCAGAGGATGGACAGATACACAGGAAGGATTTGACCCTATAATGATGTCTTTTAATTCAGCTTACTCTGTAAAGGGAAGTGATTTGGTTGTTCGGTGTCTGCTGAGGTCTCTGCTACCTACCCAGCAGACATGTTGCTGTTCATAGAAAGTCCATCTGATGTGTTTGGAAATGATAATCCCGTCCATCCAAAGTTTTGCCCTAATGTATTGATTTATCTTTCCATTTCATGTTCCACCTGTAAAGGATTATTCCACTGAGAGGCTGAAGAAGACAAATGAGATCCTGAAAGGGATAAAGTTACTGAAGTTGTACGCCTGGGAGAACATTTTCTGCTCCAGCGTGGAAGAGACGCGGATGAAGGAACTGACCAGCCTGAAAACATTCGCCCTGCACACGTCCCTGTCCAGTGAGTGATCCCCCACTTCATCACATGATCATGTTTTCACAGCATGTTTCTATCCTCTAATTATTTTGTGGTTTTATTTCGGCAGTTTTCATGAATGCGGCCATCCCCATAGCAGCAGTCCTGGCGGTAAGAACATTTTCTCATACTACAGTAATACCTTGGTTTACGAGCATAATTCGTTCCGGCAACATGCTTGTAATCCAAAGCGTTTGTATATCAAAGCGAATTTCCCCATAGGAAATAATGGAAATTCAGATGATTCGTTCCACAACCCCAAAATATTCATATAAAAATGATTACAATACTATACTGTAATATAGTACTGTACAAAATATAAAGAAAAATAAACAGATTACCGGTACCTTCGTGGCTGGTGTGAGGGGGACAAGAGAGAGGAGGATTATTGTGTAGGACAACTTTCACTATCACTAACGGAATCTCTGCTATCTCTTTGGGCGATGCCTGTGCAGGTACAGCCGACAAGTAAGGGCACCGCCATAATACCAGTCCAATCCCAGCCCTGTCTCTTCACATTCTTTGCCGTAACACAATGAAACATGGCTATCTGTTGTTTGGGCTACACACACTGCATGAAACTCCCATCTTCTTCCAGATCATAATGGGGGTCATCCTGCTGTACAAGCTGCTGGGCGTCAGCGCTCTGGTGGGGGCGGCCGTCATTGTACTGCTCGCTCCAGTACAGTACTTCATCGCGACCAAGCTGGCGGAAATCCAGAAGAATACGCTGGTAAGTTCGGGAGAGCGGGTAGAGTGAGATCTGTGATTAGTATTATACATTTATATACAGTAGCTTTGACATATACCCTGGTGCTGTAAAAAAGAACACTGGGCCAGTCACAGCAGTTTCTGCACCAGAGGAGCCTACACTCTAATGTCACACCACATACACACTATTATTATTATTATTATTATACATTTATATAGTTCTGACATATTCCACAGTGTGGTACAGAGTACCCTGAGCCAGTCACATCAGTTGCTCCACCACAGTCACACACTATTATTATTATATTATTATACATTTATATAGCTCTGACATATTCCGCAGTGCTGTACAGAGAATACTGAACCCTTTCCTTCAATTTCTGCACACACGTACTGTCAAACACACAGAGTAAAATGGCTTATAGCCATCAGAGGATGGACAGATACACAGGAAGGATTTGACCCTATAATGATGTCTTTTAATTCAGCTTACTCTGTAAAGGGAAGTGATTTGGTTGTTCGGTGTCTGCTGAGGTCTCTGCTACCTACCCAGCAGACATGTTGCTGTTCATAGAAAGTCCATCTGATGTGTTTGGAAATGATAATCCCGTCCATCCAAAGTTTTGCCCTAATGTATTGATTTATCTTTCCATTTCATGTTCCACCTGTAAAGGATTATTCCACTGAGAGGCTGAAGAAGACAAATGAGATCCTGAAAGGGATAAAGTTACTGAAGTTGTACGCCTGGGAGAACATTTTCTGCTCCAGCGTGGAAGAGACGCGGATGAAGGAACTGACCAGCCTGAAAACATTCGCCCTGCACACGTCCCTGTCCAGTGAGTGATCCCCCACTTCATCACATGATCATGTTTTCACAGCATGTTTCTATCCTCTAATTATTTTGTGGTTTTATTTCGGCAGTTTTCATGAATGCGGCCATCCCCATAGCAGCAGTCCTGGCGGTAAGAACATTTTCTCATACTACAGTAATACCTTGGTTTACGAGCATAATTCGTTCCGGCAACATGCTTGTAATCCAAAGCGTTTGTATATCAAAGCGAATTTCCCCATAGGAAATAATGGAAATTCAGATGATTCGTTCCACAACCCCAAAATATTCATATAAAAATGATTACAATACTATACTGTAATATAGTACTGTACAAAATATAAAGAAAAATAAACAGATTACCGGTACCTTCGTGGCTGGTGTGAGGGGGACAAGAGAGAGGAGGATTATTGTGTAGGACAACTTTCACTATCACTAACGGAATCTCTGCTATCTCTTGACTCAATGGGATCTTTTTCATTTCCTGAAACCTTAACAAGGAATCTATCCAATGTGACATTGCATTGTCGTTAAACAGACTCATCGCTCGGACTGCTACAGCCTTATTCAGTGGTGCTTTTCTACAAAATTTTGCTCTTATTGCAAGACATTGCTTGTATATCAAGGCAAACATTTTCAGAAATGTTTGCTTGTCTTGCAAAACACTCTCAAACCAAGTTACTTGTAAACCAAGGTATTACTGTACGTCCATCCTTCATTGTGTTCTTTCTAGATTTTGGTTTACCATAAGTTAACGTGAATCTGTGCCCCGACGATGGACAATAATGTATTAACATATCCATTCGTAGCATTAAATAAGCCCTCACTGACCTCTGTAGCTGCAGGTACTGTGCTCTGCTATGTCTCATATTGCACTCCATCTGTTCTACCTCCAGACGTTTGTGACTCATGAATACGTAGAGAGTACAACACTGACTCCCGCCAACGCCTTCGCATCACTGTCATTGTTCCACATACTGGTGACTCCGCTCTTCCTGCTTTCCACTGTGGTCAGGTTCGCCGTGAAAGCTCTGGTCAGGTAGGTCAGAAAATTGTCATTATACTGGATTATTAGGAGAGACATCCATAATAAGCCCATATCCCTAAGAGGACTTGTTTTATTGCTGTGTAGTCCAATACTCTTCTTTTCTCCCAGAAACAGTATTGTGCCAGATTTGGTTATATGTGAATATTGGGGTGATACCAGTGACTTTGTTAGGTTGCCAAAAGACCCAGAGTGCCCCTGGTCATTTAGACTGAAATGCTGTGGGGCTTGTAGCATACCATGACTATAAGTGGGTGAGGATTGTCCTTGCCTGCCATATCATCCATTATCTCTTCTTTTTTTTATCTTCTGCATTCTCTTACTTATTTTCCCATCCCCTGCTACACTTTCATGCTGCACAGTATTGGATACTTGGGAATTACTTTCGTTGGTATGTTAAAAAAAATTCATCTGATCTTGGTCTAATGTAATTTATTTTGCTCAAAAAATATGACTTGATCTCCCATCAGTTCTAATTGTAATTTCATAACTATAATAACATGACTGAAATTAGAAAATACATCCAATATTTTGTAAAAATATATGAACATGTGAAGCAAAGATTGATTTATGTTCAGAGGACCATTAATGCTGAGACAGCTACAAGTACTGCAAACGAGATATGGGGCTTGCAGTAGAAGACCTAGGGCTCTCAGCAGAAGACAAGGCACTGTTAGTAGAAGGCCCATGGCAGTCAGGAAAATACCCGGGACTATCAGTTAAAGACCTAAGGCACTCAGTAGAAGACCCAGGGCACTCAGTAGAAGACCCGGCAGAACTAAGAGACCAGGAGCAGTCAGTAGAAGTCCAGGGGCACTAGAAGACTTGTGCTCATAGTAGAAGACACTCAGTAGAACACCAAGTAATCTCAGAAAAAGACCGGGGAAATTCAGTAGAAGACCAGGGGCTCTCAGTAGAAGACCAAAGGCACTCAGTAGAGGATTGGGCAGAACTAAGTTAAAGACCAGGAGCAGTCAGTAAAAGACCAGGGGCACGAGAAGACTTTGCTCATAGTAGAAGACACTCAGTTGAAGACCAAGTATTCTCAGTAGAAGACCCGGGAGATTCAGTAGAAGACCAGGGGAACTAGAAGACTTGTACTCATAGTAGAAGACACTCACTAGAAGACCAAGTAATCCCAGAAAAAGACCCGGGAGATTCAGTAGAAGACCAGGACTCTCAGAAGACCAAAGGCACTCAGTAGAAGGTTGGGAAGAACTAAGTTAGAGACCAGGAGCAGTCAGTAAAAAAACAGGGACACTAGAAGACTTGTGCTCATAGTAGAAGACACTCAGTAGAAGACCAAGTATTCTCAGTAGAAGACCTGGGAGACTCAGTAGAAGTCCAGGGGCACTAGAAGACTTGTGCTCATAGTAGAAAACACTCAGTAGGAGACCAAGTACTCTCAGTAGAAGACCTTGGAGACTCAGTAGAAGACCAGGGGCTCTCAGTTGAAGACCAAGTACTCTCAGTAGAAGACGTGGGAGACTCAGAAGAAGATCCAGGGCACTCAGTAAAAGACCTAGGGCTCTAAGTAGAGGACCTGGGGAAGTCATTAGAAGACCCAGGACACTCAATAATAAAATGAAGGGCTGTTAGTAGAAGTCCAGGGACTCTCAGTAAAAGACCTGGACCACTCATTAGAATACCTGGGACACTGAGTAGAAGACCCGATGCACTCAGCAGAAGACCTGGGGCAATCAGTAGAAGATCCAGGGGTGCATGCCCTTAGTGCAAGGGTCAAAACGCCCCTGGCTGATAAAATAAATCAGTGCAGAAACCAATCATGTTTACAATGATTCCCAGCAGCCAACTACAGTAACCTTCTGGACTCAGAACTAGTGGACATGTTTCTAAATCCAAGAAGAGCCAAAATGTAATATATTGCAGTTTAGCAATCCTTAGCTGTGGTGGCTGCATTAGTTTTCCTGTTGATCCTAAGAGAAATCTAATGTGATTGTAACTGTGTCCAGTGTCCTGTACACTAAACTCTGTTATCAGCTTTCTCTGCTATCTTCTCTCAACTACAGAACAATTCACCTCTATGAGATCAGGAGCAGGGGAGGTATTCTGTAGTCCTGTCCTAGGGTAACACAAAGCAGTTCATTCATAGATACAGTATGGCAAGTGATCTTTATCACTCTAAGCTAGGAAGTGTGTTACTGGCAGGATCACCAGGGGAAACTAAAGAAAAAAAAAGCATAAAATATAAAGACAAAAGCAGTCACCACATCTGTGGGCTAGTTCACACCACAAACAATGCGTTCCGCCTGATTTGGTGCCGGAACACACTTGATCACATCACGGTCGGCTCACTGCGTTCAGGGGCAGGAGGGAGCATGGCGGTGCATTGAAGTGCATGCACTTTTTTTTTTAACCGGACCTGAACTCAGGCATTGATGTGCCACGCGTTCGGGTGCGGGCAATCGCACTGAGGCCAGGGGGCCCCCTCCAGCCCCTAAACAAAGGGAGCTGGCTGGGATGCGATCCAGTGCGTTCCGGCACCAAACTGGAACGCACTGTTTGTGGTGTGAACTAGCCCTAAGGGCTGGTAGGCTGCAGTATATTACAATTTTCTTCTTGGGTTTATACACCAGTAATTGTTGCTGGTGAGCTTTGTATATCATCACTGATAACCCCCCAAGTGTATAATACACAAAAGTTTCCGTTCACATGCAAACAAGGATAATTGCGAGTGCCGGAATACAACGTAAATGGTTTCTTATCTGTGTTTTCAATTTAAACTCTCAGGTTGATGTTTTTAGTTATATTTAGCTTGTGCAGTGGCCCTTATCATATTTCTCATCTCTCTCTCATCTCTCTTCCCATCTCAAGTGTTCAGAAGTTAAATGAGTTCTTCACCAGTGACGAGATCAGAGATGACAGCATGAGGAACGGCGATTCGCCCAGCATGTTCGAAGCCTTCAGAAAACAGCCGGGAATTGTATGTCCCATCCACAGGGCTCTAATCATATAATAATACAACACGATACAATGTAACTCCTCAGAGGACATACTGTATGTACAATGGCTATTGTTACATAAATGTTTCACAGTTATGCAGAGCTCTGAGCGTCAGATGCCTAAATAAAAAGATTAGAATGTAACAGATTAGAAGGAAGATTTAAAGCGTCTCTAAAGCGAAAAACCTTTTATTATTTTGCTTTAAATGGATTGAGAAAGGGTTAAAAGCCATGCCCCTTTTTTTGTACTTGCTCTCCGTTCAGACAAAAAAATCTTGCATGAAAATCTGGTTAAGTGACCGTAGGTTTTCCGGGATGCTGAAACTTGTACTCCTTCCACGGCAGGGAATTTTCAGCAGGTTTTTTTCTTGTACACTTTCTAACTTCCCTTTCGGTTCCTCTCCAGCATTCACGAGCCATAAACCGGAAGCAGCCACTGAGGTACCAACTGGATAGCTATGATTCCCCGCAGAGACAGATGCGCCCATCTGACAGTGAGGAAGCTGCAATCAAGGTTCCTAATTTTATTTTCTTGATAAACTTTCCAATATAGCTCTGACATATTCCGCAGTGCTGTACAGAGAACACTAAGACAGTCACATCAGTCTCTGCACCAGAGGAGCTTACACTCTAATGTCCCACCACAGTCACACACTGTTATTATTATACATGTATATAGCTCTGACAAATACCACAGTGCTGTACAGAGAACTCTGAGACAGTCACATCAGTCTCTGCACCAGAAGAGCTTACACTCCAATGTCCCCCCACAGTCACACACTGTTATTATCGATTTATATAATTCTGACCTATTTCACAGTGCTGTACAGAGAACATTGGGACAATCACATCATTCTCTGAACCAGAGAAGCTTACACTTTAATGTCCCCACCACAGTCACACAGTAATTATTGATACAATTTATTATTGTCTTCTTTAGTGCTCTGATTATAAAATGTGTTCGGCTTATAATCCTTAATTCATTATAAAATCACCTTGGTGTTTTTCCTCTTATAGGTGATTGGTGGATACTTTTCCTGGGGAACAGGATTGGCTACATTAACTAATATAGATATCCAGATACCGACAGGTAAGAGAATATTCTGACTTATGGGGTTCCATACACACACCTGATAATATCAATCATGGAGTCTGTTACCTCACTATCAGTGTAGATTAGTTGTGTACATGTAGGAAGCTCAGTTTGCTGAAACGCAATAAATCTGCATGAAGAATTCTCAGGCTTATAGTGTCCATACAAAGGATAACAACAGGTTCACTTTAATGATCAGTTTGCTGAAACCTCAATAAATCTGCATGAAGAGTTCTCAGGCTTATAGTGTCCATGCAAAGGATAACAACAGGTTCACTTTAATGATCAGTTTGCTGAAACCTCAATAAATCTGCATGAAGAGTTCTCAGGCTTATAGTGTCCATGCAAAGGATAACAACAGGTTCACTTTAATGATCAGTTTGCTGAAACCTCAATAAATCTGCATGAAGAGTTCTCAGGCTTATAGTGTCCATGCAAAGGATAACAACAGGTTCACTTTAATGATCAGTTTGCTGAAACCTCAATAAATCTGCATGAAGAGTTCTCAGGCTTATAGTGTCAATGCAAAGGATAACAACAGGTTCACTTTAATGATAGCCCCACCAGCAGCACATATATCCCTTCCTCTTCCCAGCCATTTGGTCATAAAGGAAAATTCCTAGTACTTCAAGGTATGGGGAGCATGTGGCTCACCCCACTTTCTGCCATGTGACAGCACTAGTGCTTGTTGATTGAAAGGCACCCATTGCTGTCACAGGGGAGAGTCTTCAATTGTTCTTGAGCTACAAGTAGAGACATAAAGCGCACACGGGCCTTCCAATATTCACATTGCACTTTAAAGTGAGGCTTCAGCCCAAACCTTTAGTTTTATATAACCTCTGTCCACCCTTTATAGCTGTCTGTGTCCTGACTGGGGGGATTCATATTCACTATTTGTCCTGGTGTCACTGGGATGGGAAGTGAAGACGATTTACCAGTTTTGGTAGACATGTGCTAGTGGAGGGGGCAAGTAGTCTGAATTTAGAGTTGATCCCTAACACAAGGTCCGACTGTACAGTAGGAAGAAGAGGGTGCGGAAGCATTGTGAAACATCCAGTTAGATTTTATCTGCCATAGTGTTGGACACAATAGTCAACGCATTTCAGGAGCTTCTCTGACCCCTTTTCATCAGGGAATGTAAAAGAAGTAGTTGGAAAGTGACTAGACCAAGGAAAGGGTCATCAGTGAACTCATTATTATAGGGCTTGCTCAGGTCAACAGACTTGACTGGAATAAATTCACTTCAGTGCCCCGTCTGTTGTCCAGTTGGTCCAGTTTTCAATTCTTGCTTTTACAAGCTTTGAAAAGTGGGGACCAGAGAATTTACTAAAACACGTTGGCTCCTGAAACATGTTTGCTCCAGAAAAAAAAAGGCTCCTGAAAAATGTTGTCTCCTGAAACATGTTATCTCCTGAAACACATTATCCCCTGAAACATGTTGGCTCCTGAAACACGTTACCTCTTAAAACACGTTACCTCTTGAAACACATCTCCTGAAACACGTTGGCTCCAAAAACACTTTGGCTCCTAAAACACGTTGGCTCCTAAAACACGTTGGCTCCTAAAACATGGCTCCCGGAACACATTGGCTCCTGAAATACGGCTCCTGAAACACGTTGGCTCCTGAAACACGTTAGCTCCTAAAATACGGCTCCTGAAACACGTTGACTCCTGAAACACATTGCCTCCTAAAACATGTTGGCTCCTGAAACATTTAGTCTCCTAAAACACGGCTCCTGGAACATGTTGTCTCCTGAAACATGTTGTTTCCTGAAACACGACTCCTGAAATACATTGTCTCCTGAAACACGTTATCTCCTTAAACACGACTCCTGAAATACATTGTCTCCTGAAACACGTTATCTCCTTAAACACGGCTCCTGAAATACATTGGCTCCTGAAACACGTTAGCTCCTAAAACACGACTCCTGGAACATGTTGTCTCCTGAAACACGTTGGCTATTGTGTCTACACCTTGTCAAAAATACAATCTAATCCAAATCTAAACTACTTAATACCACTTCCTATACCCACAATCCTTTTCACTTGGAGCAGGAGTGGTAGTATCATTATGCCTACAGAGGGTCCTTGGGGTTCCTGTAAGGATTTCTCAATACTTGGCTGGAAGATCTCTAGGTCCAGAAAGGATCAATGCCCCACTGTCTCAGCCGGGTATTGACCAGGTCCTGGCACTATTTCCCATCTGTCATTGTCAGGAGATATCTGCCCATCTATAGTTTCCTATATTTTACAATAAGATTAGTATATTAGCCTTGTACGAGAGACGGCCTTTTATTTAATACTCCTTATCAAATATTTGTCTCCTTCTATACATGATGTGATGAAACCTCTATAAATGTTTGTAAATTCCAGATTAATGTTTCATTCTCTCTACAACATTGTGTCCTGTGCAGGAAGAGTGTTTATGTAGCAGAAATGTGTGTATATACTAGTGCGGCGTTTTATGTTACGTTATACTCAGAGTCATATTAAGATTACTCCGATAGAAGCTGCAGAAGAGGAAAATGTTTGTGCTGCCACCCAATTCCTGTCTGTCATTGTCTAACCTGCTCCCAGCTATGTGACCCCTTTTATAATACTCAGGGTTTGTCAGATGCCTTCACCATCAAAGGAAGGGCTAATAATGTATGGGCAGGGTGACGGGGTCTCTTTAAATTAACAGAAGCTAGTCTACTAAATACATTTCCTTCACTAGTGCTGAGTACACCTTTAGGTTGGGAAAAGACTAATTATGGACTGCTGGCATCTAAGGGCCACTGATTATGTGCCATAGGGCCACATCTGGCTTCTTTACTGCAGGTCGGGGAGCAGAGGTCCAAAATGATGGGTATCCTGGTAGCTGTGTGTGCGGTGGTCCCCCTGAGTTACTATCGTGTCTCGTCTTTCAGGTCAGCTCACCATGGTTGTCGGTCAGGTTGGATGTGGAAAGTCGTCCCTTCTACTGGCTATTCTCGGGGAGATGCAGGCACTGGAAGGGAGAGTCTGCTGGAATAAGTAAGTCCGTCAACAACAATAATTTTTAACCTACTTTGTATCATAGAGAAACATGTCCTAGATCATGGGTAGGCAATGCTAGCACTCCAGCTCTGGTGAAACTACAAATCCCAGCATGCATCTGCCTTTGTGAGTCATATCTGTGGCTTAAGTCTTGCAATGCCTCATGGGACTTGTAGTTTAATTACAGCTGGAGTGCCAAGGTTGCCTCCCACTGTCTTACATCATCAGGTTCTGTGTCAGCAGATTGCAAATCGAGGATTGTCTTAATGTCATGAATAATTCAACATATTAAATATACATATTCATCATATTAAACATATTTCTGCTCCCTAATTTTCTCCCAGAGATCTGAACTACACACATCAATTGACAGTGAATCACATCTAGCTCCATTCTTCTTCTACTCTTATAGTTCTTTTCTTTTTTACATTTTATTGTTTTTATTATACATCATAATTTATTAGTCAGTCTATGTTAGCGGTGGGCAATTCATTTTCTCAAGGGGCCACATGAGAAGCTGGTACTGTTTGTGGAGGTGTTAGCGGTGGGCAATTCATTTTCTCAAGGGGCCATATGAGAAGCTGGGACTGTTTGTGGAGGGCTGAACCAATAGGCTGAACTACTTTTTTCAACCACACTGCACCACAACGCACGGTATTGCACCACCGTTTGTTGCGGCGTGATTGATCTTGTTGCGGCCAGAGGTGCATTTGGGGTGCCACTCAAATGAATAGCAATGCAACACACCTGCTGCTCTGTAACGCGGAGTAGGTGTGAAGAGGCCCTATCCACCATTTATGTCTATCCACCATTTATAAAAGTTCTGCCTGGTGTATAGCCAGTGGATGCAGTTGGCATGGCACTAGCACCCTGAGATGACGCTGACAAGCATAGGAATTTCCTATACTCGCCAGAACCATTAGGGGCGCTAGTGCCATGTAAATAGCATCTATTCGCTATCATTCATTTGGGCTAAAATAGAAATAAGAATACAAAAATTGAATTAGTTGGAACAATCATGAAAGATCTCATGGATCTCATATATTCTTTCATCAATCATGAAAGAATATATCATAACAATAGTTATGAATATTATGTATGTTATTGGTTGAAACTCTAAATAAACCTAATCTTAAAAAAAATGATAATGAATATAATCCAAAATGAATTCATATTGCCAAAACTGGAGAAACCAATATTTATTTCCTGTGCTCCTCAGCTCCATCTAGTGGCCATCATATGGTATTACAAAATGACATTTGAAAATACATTCGACTTATAACAAGAACATTCGTTTTTGCATCCATTCACACAGAACGAACATTCAGAGATTCAATTGTTGATAAATTGTTTATAAAAAGTCCCCATAAAATCTGCGGTCATAATAACAAGATGACATTATTGGCTGAATGCATCCTAATAAAAGATCGAATATGGGAACTACAGTTGCTGAATAAAAGTTCCAATGTATCTTGGAAGGTATTTTTCTATAATTGCATTGGTTTTGGTGTCTTCAGGTTTTGCTCATCCCTTTATGGAAGTTCATCTGTGCCAGAATAATGCTAGAAAATACGGTTTCCAAAATGTCGTTCCAATCAAATCTCGTACAAGCGAAGGGCCAACTGTGCATTTTTGCAGTCTGACACCCAAGAACCAATTGTTAATTTGCTACTAAGCCATTTCTGTCATAACTTGCAGCCCCGATGACTGTTTCCTGTTCTCTGACAATGAAGGAAGGTACGGCCTTCGCTGTGTGTGCTGTTCATAATTTCCCTCTTCAGGGTGACCATACACTATACAATCTCCTTAAAGCAGACCTTTACACTCACAAATCAAATTCTACCAATGCATCCCCCTATGTATGATGATTAATAATAACATAGACGTGTCAGGTGTAAAATGCTGAGATTGTGAAATACTTACACTTGTAGAGCATTCACTTCCTGCTTTGAAAGGGCAAAATGACTTCAGTTTGGCGAAGCAATGCACACTGGGATTGCCTTGTCATCAGCAGAGCATTGCTGGGAAATCTCATCTGTAATCTCATGAGATCTCGGGGAAAGGCATTTTCCTCCCCTGAGATGATGTGCATGGTCACATGTCTAGTCACATGTGCCAGAAATCCAGGAAGCAATAGGAGAGCTAGTAATCTGCCCTTAGTAATCATGGCCGCTGTCAGAAGACTGGGGAAGAAAAGAGAAATAAGGAATGCAAAGAATACAAAGTCTGCAATTATCTAGAAGTACGTGTTTGTAGATTGTCATCACTAAACATTTCTAAAGGTGTGTTTGTTGTTATATTAAAGATATGGGGTAAGGGTCCGCTTTAAGATCTGCCACCAACTATGTAATGCAAGGACTTGCCTGATTTGATACAAATGGAACCAGTTGTTTTGGTTTGTCTGCATAGAACATAGTTTTGAGAAGTTTAAAGCAGAGGTAGACAACCTCGGCACTCCAGCTGTGGTGAAACTACAAATTCCGACATGCCTCTGCCTCTGGGAGTAATGCCAGTGGCTGTTAGTCTTGCAATGCCTTATGGGAGTTGTAGTTCTACAACAGCTGGAGTGCCGAGGTTGCCTACCCCTGGTCTAAAGCCTATAAATCTCTCTTAGATCTACCAAAAAGTATGTAGTGGAAGGACCTGCCTGGTTAGATAAAAACTGATTGGATAGATTAGGTAGGTGCTCATATTATACAGTTTTGGTACATCTAAAGTTGCTTGTACAGAGATTGTATGGCCAGACTGTAAGGTGGGTGCTACATTTGAACAAAATCATACAATTGAATTGTATAGTGTATGGCCACCTTGAGATGAGTCATCTGTGCCGTGATTCCCTAACATGGTGGAATTTCTCGATATTTCCCATTGCCAGCGCGGCGCAGGACATTCTCCTGTCATCCTGGTGTGCTGTGTGCCTCATTCACCATCCCTCTAACTAGTAATCGGCCTGTAATTCTCTACTCATTCTTGGCATTCGCTGGACATTTTCATTGTGATATACTTGTAGTGTATTTCTTCTTGTGTTTGACTGTTTCTGGTTTGGAGGGGAATCCGCGTGTGCCCCTAGAGCCTTGTTCTAAACATGAAATGAAAGACATATGGAGGTCGCTATTGACGATGTTGTGGAAATGCTGAGTGTCTGCTGTGTTTAGGATTTTGGTCACAACATTCTTAACTGCTGCGCTTGTTCTGGCTCAGTGACACGGATTGTACTGACTTTGAAGGGTCAGCTGTAAGATCAGATCATTTCCCATGTTTTGGCAATGCCATTACAGTCAATGGAGGAGGTGAAATTAAAGTGACACTAAGGAGTTAAATCATAATACATTCAAGTACCTGAACTATTAACAAAAATGTATCTTATTTGTGTATCAGTCGGCTGGAGACCCTCAAATCATCTCTGAATTGGTGCTGACACTGTCCTTCCTTCTGGAGGGGGGCTACTTTTGTTCACCATGGTCCCTGTGTGTGTTGTAAAGTAGTCACCGCTCCAAGAGAAAGACTACAATCTCATGTTTAGATTACTAATATGTATTGAGATTGTAGTCCATCACAGGAGTGAGCTTAGAGCAGTGACTACTTTACAACACACACCGGGACCATGGGGAACAAAAGTAGCCCCCCTCCAGAAGGAAGGACAGTGTCAGCAACAATTCAGAGATGATTTGAGGGTCTACAGCCGAGTGATACACAAATAAGATACATTGTTGTTTATAGTTAAAGTACCTAAATGCATTTTTAAAAATTTAACTCCGGAGTTTAGTGTCACTTGAAGGTTGTATTAAGTGGTTTTTGCAGTGTAACAAAGTACAGAAAAATACCAATTGCTCTGCCAGATATCCAACGAGCTCCCAACTTCCTCTAGTAAGCTGACAACACTGCCTTTGCTGCACTGAAATCCCAAACTTTGTTGTCAGTCCTTCCCAGTTTTTTTCCTGCTGGACTAAAGATCACCTCCTCTCCACTAATCTCTTGTACCCACTCCATTCTCTCCATCTCCATAACATAAGGGAGAGGAGTTGTGTAGCTTAGGAGATGAGGGCTGACAACACTGCTTCATATTTCATTGTAGCGGAGGCAGCATTGTCAGCTCAGGAAGTTAGGGGCTCACTGGCATATCCAGGGCATCCAGGGCGTATGGCACATGACCTGGGCGCCACTTGAAGGGGGAAATGGCGCCACTTCATGGGTCAGCGAAAGTTTGCCGACCAATGGAGACAGCTGACTTATTGTCTCTCCCATATGCATTTCCCCACCTTACTCTTAGCAACCAGGGATGCTCTGGCCAGCTTCCCGCCCAGCTCCCAGCAGTCACTGGTTACCAGGGGCTGGGTGGAATGCCGGCCAGAGCGTCCCAGGCAAGGCAGGAAAATGAAACAAGGGAAATGTGCACGTATTGCAGAGATGTACTGCACATTTTAAGGATGCAATGGGCTTTAAATGACATTTTTATGTTGCTTTTTTTAAAAATTTTATTTATTTTAATGTTGTTTGAACATTTCTAAAACAAGGACAAAAACAGTGACATGAAAAAAAAAGTAAAGACAAAATACATATTTTTTTACTTATTTCTTTGTGTATTAGATTATTTGATTTTTCTTACACAAACACAAAGATACAAACAAAATCACCATTTTTGTGTTTTATTTATGTATCTATTTTTTACTGTGAAAAAAAATACTAAAAAAAAACTAAGCAACAACGTGAGGGGAATGAGAAGAAAGATTTTTTTTGTTTTTTTTAATCTTTCTTTTGTGTCTTTTATTGTTATTTGATGAACACTTTGTGCACGCTGACATGGGGATCAATTACTTTTGATCTGTTGATAAATAAAGCAGCACTGTGCCACATGTAGGAATTAGCATCTATTTTCAGTAAAATTTTGGAAAATGTAAAATCAAGTCATCTCATCCCTAACCTGCATGACAGCCAGGCAAAGAGCATTTTCAGAAAATAGGTGACCAATGGCATCATATGTATGTCTCTCAGCTCGGGTTTCCTTTACCAGAACAGTTTCTCTAACTATGTAACTAATGTTACTCGAGTCTCCGATCATTTACAGGAATGAAAAATAAACATTTGGAGTGTGAGAGAGCCAGACATGAATCTGTTGAGCAGCATTTCCCTCTCACACCTCCTCGGACTTTTATCTTTTATTTTTAGCTCGTGGTGCCGTCCATCCCATCGTCTGGTCTTTAGTCTTAAATCATACTTTCCTTTGCTTACGTGACTTTTTCGGAGGCTTGATTTTATTTACATTTTATTGTCATTGTGTTGTTAATTGATTAAGTGCATGTGATTCTAATGCTAAAAGCTCCAATTCAAGATCTCACATTCGAGAAAGGGGCAATCGTTAAAATACAAGGGCAACCAATGGGCAATTGTTACAAAATGAGTGCAACAAACAGGCTGCCATTACAATATGTGGGCAACAAACAGACAGTCCTTACAAATCAAGGGGAACACATGGGCAATTGTTACAATACAAAGGCAATAAATGGACAGTCATTGAAAAACAAATGGGTAATTGCTACAATGCCCAAGCAACGTATGGTCTCTTGGTACAATATGTGGGCAACAAACAGGCAGTCTTTGCAATATGAGGGCAACACATGAGCACTTGATACAATACAAATAGGCAGTCATTAATATAGGCATTCAACAAAAGGGCAATCATTACAATGTGGAGTCAACAAGTAGGAAATTGTTACAATACATGGGCAACAATCAGGGAATCAGTACAATATGGTGGCAACAACAAATGGGCAATTGTTTCAAAACGATGGCAATGAATGGGCAACCATTACAAGACAACAAACAGGGGCAAACAACACGGGCATCAAACAGGCACTCTTTACAAATCAAGGGAAACACATGTTCTGGCCAGAAAGGGGGTGGCAGATCCACTCTAAATATTGCTCCCCCCCCCATGTGATTTAAAGAGATGCCAGCTGAGGCAAAAGCCTCAGGCTCCCTTATTAAAGGGAAGCCTTGATGATCCCCAACAGTGTGGTATTCCGACAGTCACACAGTCTGGCAGGGTTCTTTCAATGGCTTGCCCCCAGAGAAGTGATAATCGATTAAATTTATGTATAGCCACAAGCCTACAGATCTAGTCAGGGAGTCTGAGGGGGTCCTGTAAGAGACTAATAGCAGCGAGACATTAATTCTTCAGATCTTCAGGCCCCACGATGCTTATTCCGATTCTGTTACTCTCATGCAAATCCGACATCGCCATTGCCCTTGGCCCTGAACCTCTTGGCTAAATTCTGAACATCACCCTTCTTATTACACTCTTATACTAAGCACTCTTATGTGACTTATAATATGTGACAGAATAGTTCTTCCTCCTAAGCTTGGATTATACGCAGGATGTGTGTTGTGATTCCCTCACTTTGGGTCTGGAAGCTCTTTGTCATCTGTGAGTCTTCAGTATGGAACTTTGTCCATAGCTGGGGGCTGGATAGACGGGTGCACATTGAGGTTTGAGAATTCCAGGAGGGCTTCTTTCAGATAGTTACAGGAGAGACGTCTATGTGGAACTTCAACCAAAAAATAATTTCTTATTTTTTGTGTAGGGTTGAGAAGGGTGAGGTCCCCTGTCAGGTGATAACTGTGCAGCAAAAATTTCCTCTGAACTTTGTACTCAGATGATCACGCAGAAAAACAGGGGTGTATACATGGGCATCCCTAGCATTTTTTCCACCTGAGCCGGAGGGTAGGGGGATATGGGGGCCCTGAGGCCTCAGCTGGCTCTGATCTTTTCGCTGTTTTCCAGTAAGAACAGGAACTCCGTGGCCTACGCTGGACAGAAGCCCTGGCTGCTGAACGCCACTGTGGAGGAGAACATCACATTCGGGAGTCCCTTTATCAAGCAGAGGTACTGACACATTTATAAAACTGATAGACCGACATGCCATCAGATGCTGTGACACCAGGAGGCTGATTTATAAACAATTCACGGGTGTGTTTGCCTTGCACAGGACATTCGTTCTGTGCAAATATATGCACAAACGAACGTTCTTTAGATTATGGCCACTAGATGGAGCTTAAGAGCATTAAAAATACTTATTTCCTATGAAATGAAATAGCTCCATCTAGCGGACGTAATGCGGTATTACACTCAGAACATTTGAATGTATTTATTCCCTGCAAATTGTTTTTCAAATCAACCCTTAAAAATACCAGCGAACACTGTTCCATGGAGTGGCCCAACCCGGTCGTCATGAAAGACAATCAGAATCTGCTTCTCATTACTGAATTCAGCCTCTTTTAGCTCTTAAAATCAGACAGAAAAAAATAGAAAAAGCAAAAAAAAAACAAACAGATAAATATTGGCAGTGAACATTTTTCTTCTGGCTGAAAATGTATTGCATCATCATCATTATAGGATAACTTAACACAAGAACAAAAATGCCATATTTTGCAACTTATCAGACTCTAGAT